CCTCCGTGCGCCCAGGCGGCGTCCGCAGCCCCCAAACCCCAGGACCCGGCCACCTGCGCCCTGTCCCTGGCGGCGTGGAGGTGGCCAAGGAGCCCAACCAGCGGAGGTGACAGGCGCCCGACCAGTGGCTCGGGGGCGCCCCCTGAGGTTCAGCAGCACCCTCTGCAAATGCAAAGCCAGCATCGCCAGCCCTGGCATTGCAACTTCGCCTGGCTCCAAAACAGGCAAGCACCCTCTCCGGCTGCACTTTTGCAAACCGACACCCCCTCCTCTCTGTCTTCCCTGCGCCCCGCGCCACTGCCCCATCTTCCCCTTTCCCGACACCTCTCGGCTCCAGGACGAGGGCACAGGGGCCGTTTACCTCGCAGCGTGGGCGCAAAAGGAAAATGACAAGGCGAGCTGGGTCCAAGCCCCGCGGAGGCAGGATCATTTTGCATTGCAAAGGCCCATTTTGCAATTGCAAGCTTGCTTGGACACCAAGAAAAAAGAAAATCGCTGCACAGCCCCCCTCCCCCCCGAACGTGGGGCGGCCAGAAGTGTAATCACAAATTCCTCTCCCATCGCAGGGTCGCCCTCCACCGCCCCCATTAGAGCGTGGCCCCCGCCAAGCGCCACCTGGGTGCACCTGAGCTCTGCCGGCGGCCGGCGAGTCTGTGGCTAAGAAGGGGCGCGCAGAAGGGGGTGACAATTAACACACATACACACTGAGCAGTGAGGTTTAAGGGAAACAGGGGAGGGGATGTCCCCACGGCCTGGACACCCTTGCAGAGGCAGGACCCCAGTGGGAACACCCCAGGCCTCTGGGAGCGTGTGGATGCACGTCCTCGCTCGGCCTGGGTTTCCTCCGGGCTGTGGCTGGAGCTCCGAGCGGCTCCCCGGGCGGGAGGATGCGCAGAGAGCAACTGGGGGTGCAGAAGACAAGACGGGCTACAGGCTTGGCCTCTCTGCCCCTCGAGGCTAACCCCGAACCTGCAAAGGCAGGGGGCACTCGCTGCCAGTCCCCCCCCACCACGACCGTAGCGCGGGTCCCCGAGGGCAGTGAGGGCGCCCGCGCCCTGCTCCGGGGCGCACGACGGGGACCCGCTGCACCAAAACCAGGCGCTCTGGGTGCCCGGGGACAGGCAGCTGTCGCCAGGCAGAGCGGAGACATCGGCACGTTCCTCTTTCCCTCGATTCAGACAACCTCCACCTGCGGGTGTCCAGGAGCTGGTGGGGGAGAGAGAGAGTAGGAAGCCGGGGCGTTTTCTGTTTTTAGGGGAGCAAGAATGAGAAGCGAATTGTCACCTTTCTCCCAGCCCTCTCCCTGGCTAGAGCAGGGGACCTGTCCTCCATCCCCAGGGTGGAGCCGGACGGACAGCTTGGAGGTAGGCTCCAGGCTGCAGCCCAGAGCGCCTGCAAAAGGGGACGGAGGAGGGGGCCCTGCAAGCGGAGGGTCGCCGAGCCGCACACCGTTACGCGCGGTGATTTATTCTCGCCATCGGTGGGCAATATCGTTCCTGTCTTAACCCGGCCAGAAAGGAGCGGGTCTGGGTCTGCCAGCCGCGGAAAGCCTGCAAAAAGGGCAGAGAGGAAGGTGGGCAGGGCGCTCGAGGCAGAAAAAGAAGGCCAGCCCGGCTGGCACGGCGACCCGGCGGCCGACCCGCCCCCCGAGCCCCGACCCCGGCAACCCGGCGGAGCGGAGTCGCGGAGGGAAAGGGCCGCGGGGCCGGGGCCGGGGAAACCGCTGGTCTCCCCAAATCACCGGCTCCATGCCCGCCTATTGAGCCCAGGGAGGCTGCCTCACGCCGGCACCGAAGCGCAGCCCGCGCGCCCAGCCCCAAACGGGCGGGGGGCGCCCCCGGCCCCCCAAAACCAGAACGCACGCAGCTGCTCCCCACATCCTCGGGGCTCCGCGGCCAGCCTCGGGCTTCCATCGCCCCCGAACCCCGGCCCTCCCGAAGGGTCGGAGAGCAGCAAAGCGAGCCCCGCTTGCTTCCGAGCTCCTTCCATCCCCGCTGGAGCGAGGGGCGCACCCTGGACCCCCCAAACCCACAAGAGGCATCCTCCCCGTTGCCCCAGTCTCCCCAAGCCGCCTCGCAACTCTAGCTCTCCCGATCAGCGGCGGATCGGCAAAGCGAGTCCCCTTTTCTCCCTATGCCGGCTTGCCAGGCCCCCCCAAACCAGAGCGGGGACAGCCCCCGCGTCCCCCGTCCCCTCCCCGGCCGGCGCCCACCTCCACCCTTCCGGACCACCGGCCTCCCCAAACGCGGCCAGAGCCAGCGACGCGGATCCCCCTTTCCTTCCCCGGGCGCCAGGCCACCCCCCTCCGCCCTCTCCGGGGTCCCGGGGACGCACGCCCGGCGCCCCGCGCCCCGGCGACAACTCCGCATCCCCCCGGCCCAGCGCGTCCCCTCGGCGGCCCGCACTCACCGGGGAAGCACACGACATAATGGAGCACAGAACTGGTGATCTTCAGGAACAAAATCCACCAACACGGTTCCAGTAACCTCCGCATGTCCGAAAACGCACATCGAAAAGCGGGACGCAGGGGGGTGGGCGGGCGGGCTGGGGGGTAAACTTGTTGAATAAGTTCCTGCCTCCGCGCGAGCCTCCGCGGAGCCCGGGGGCGCCTCCCCGGCTCGCCCGCGCCCCGCGCCCCCCGCGCGCCCGGCGGCCCGAGCGCGACCGCGGACCGGCCAGCCGCCGAGCGCCCCCCGGAGAGCCTCCCAAAGTGGCCGGGCGCGCGGCGCCGCGCTGGGGACGCTCCTCCCGGCGGAGAAGGGCGCGGGCAGGGCCGCCGGGATCCCCAACTTGAGCCGGCCGAGCGCGGCGCGGCGCCTCCGGGCTTCAGGCAGGCAGCTGCTCCCGGGGCCCCGGGAAGGAGGGAGGCATGCCTGCGGGCGCGGGCGCGGGCAGGGGCGCGGCGCGGGGAGCGGGGCCCCCCGGGAGCGGACGCGGCCGGAGGGAGCGGGCGCAGACACAAAGGATCCCGGCGGGGCGCGGGGCGACGGCGCCTTCAGTCCGAGCTCCCGAAAGTTGCGGCTGCGGCGCGGGCTGGCGAGGACCGGGGCGCGCGGCGCTGGAGGCTGGCCATGCCTCCGTGCAGGAAGTAACATGTGAGCGCGGATCCTGGCAGCGACTTTAAAGCCGGCGAGCGAGCGGGCGAGCGGGGCGCGCGCGGCGCGGCGGGGGCGCGCGGGGAGGACCGCGGGGCGCGCGCGCGCCCCGTGCTCTTAAAGCAGCCGCGCTCGCGCCTCCCCGCCTGCACGCGGGGCCCGCGGCTCGGCCCGCCGGGCCGGGAGGTCGCGGGCTGCGCTGGGGGCGGCCCGGGGGGCTCGCGGGGGGCGGCGACCCTGGCGCGGGCCTTGCAAGGACGAGGGCGGCTGCCGCCTCCTGGGGCCCGCGCGTCTCCTCGCCAGGTTCCCGCCGGCGAGCTCTTAAAGACGCCGCGCGGGTCTGGCGAGGTCCCCCCTACGGTCCGCGCAGCTCGGGGACCCGGGACGGGAGGCCCCCTGGCCTGGGTCTGGGCAGAGGAGGAGGGTGGCCAGCCGCCTTTTTTAGGGCGAAGTGGGGGGGTGGTTCCCGCTGGGTTCACCGCGCCGGCAGTGCCGCGGCGGGGCGCACCGCCCGCGCGCCTTGTTCGCGCCCCCAGCCCGGCGCACCGTCCCCCGCCGGCAAACAAAGCCGCGCGGCCTTTGCACCCGGGGCGCGTTGCGATTTAAATTTTTTTTTTCCCCCTTTTCGGGCGGTCCATCGGCCAAGTCCACGGCTGGGGAGGGGGGGAGGGGAGGAGTATCGATCCCAGGCTTGCAAAATCCGGCCCCACAGCCCTTCTCCCGGCGCCACGAAGCACCGGCCGCGGAGTTTGCCCAACTCGCAGCTCCTCGGGGGAAAGAGGGTCCCCGCACCCCGGCTCGGCCGCGGGGAGGGCGCAGGAAGTGCGCCCCGGACCCCTGCAGGGCGAGGCCGGTTTCCTGGCGGCGGCTTTCGCTCCGGGGAGCGGCGTCCTGGGGACACGCGAGGACGGGGCTTGTCTGGTACGAGTGTCGGCCCCTGGCCCCTGGCCCCCGGCGCGGGGTCTTTGTCGCTCAGCCTCTTAAGCGCCCCATTCCCCCCACTGGCGCCGACGGCGGGGGCGGCGGGCTTTTGATTAAATGTGTAACCGAGCCAAGGCAATTAGCCGTTCGTCATTTTTGCCTAATTTTTCTGCCTCTCGTTTGAAAGCGATATGGACGCGTTTCTAACCCGCGTGCCTGCTGCTTTTTCTTCCCGCCACGCCAGGTCCCCCCCACCCACTCACCCACCCAAACACCCCAGCCGGATGCTAGGCTTTCAAATAATAATACGCAGATGTTCGGAGATCCTCCCGCAACGTGCGATTAGGGAAGCAGTCTCGCACCCACACTTCTAAAAAAAAAAAAACCCTTTGCAAACTTACTGTCTGGGATTGCAAACTACTAAAAGCCAGGAAGTTCCCGGGGCAGGGCCCGAGCTCTATCTTTAGCTGAGCTGGGGGTGAACACCCACCCCCAGCCAGGGTGGGGGAGGAGGCGAGTCTGTTTGCTTTGGAATTGGGTCCTTCCTGGTTTTGTTGGAATCGTGACTCCCTGATAAATGCTTGCGAGGGGCCAGTTTTCTTGAAAGTGTTTTATGTAAGGGATAGTCACTGGTCGTAGGGGGTTGGAGGCAGGTTAGAGTCACCCCGGCGTGCCTGACCCCTGGGGACGCGTGGGTTGGCATCCTCAGGTGAGTTTCCTCCGTCAAAGGGACATCATGAAAGCTGCCCTTTGCTACTGTCGACCAGGCACTGTGCTAAATTCTTCCCATAAACCGTTTGCTCATTCAACAAGTGAGCACCTACTGTGTTGGGGGGGGGTGTACTGGGAACACAGCCATGAGCAAAAAGGGGAGTAAGGGGAGCTTTTTCCGAGTTTACTTTGCGGGGTACACGCTACGTTGTCTCCTGGAGTCCTTACAATTCTGCCAGCTGTAAGAATTATTTCGCTCGTTTTATGGGCAAGGAAATATGCTTAGAAGAGTAAAATGATGCAGCCCCAGCTAGCGAGCAGCTGAGATGCTGAATCCAGGCCTGTTTGCCTCCACAACTGTGAAAAGGCAAGAGAAAACGATGGTTTGAGAAAACAATGAAACGTGGGATGCAAAGAAACAGCTTCTGAGTGTGTGGGGGGAGGAACCTCACATGGGTTTGGAGAGTGAACGATCACGACCACAGTCACTAGTGGCCACGCTAAAATGTCACAGCAAATTATGTCTGTCGTCTGGGCTGGGGACTGTCGTAGGGCCCCAGGCTGAGGTTTACCCCGAGACTGCTCTTAGAAGCACAACCCAGGCCCTACCAACCAGTCCCTACAGAAGAGGACAAACACCCAGATGCCTTTATTCATTCCTTCTACAACCAATTACAGAGCAGCTCATACACACCAGAGGGCTGTTTCACTTGCAAGACAAAGACGACCAGGCAGTGGCCCTGCCATGTTCCCACCAGTGATCACAACCCTCAACCCAGGTGACTTGGGCCCATACGATCCAGGGAGCAGAGTTAGTGTGAGGGGCTCTGGGAGTGCTAAAAGGAGGGAGAACCGAGCTACCCAGATGGGAGGATAGAAGGCAATCTGGAGCTAGGGCTTCTCTTCCAAGCTCTTTCAGGTTATTGACATAATTCAGATCCTCCTGCTTGTAGGACTGAGAATCTTGCTAGCTGTAGGCCAACCGTTGCTATGGGTTAGAGGTCCAAGCCTCAGGGCCCCCTCACAGCATGGCAGCGTTCGTATTCAAAGCCGACAGGAGAACCCTCCTACTGTTGGCTATGAAGGAGCCTTGAGACATCAAAGCGATGTAATGTCTCAAAAGTGAGCCATCACTTGTGCCATGTAAGGTAACCCAATCAAGGGAATGACCAGTTGGTCATATTCACAGATCCCACCCACTTTCAAGAAGAGGGGATCACACACCAAGGGATGGGTGTCTTGGGGCACCTAGTGTGAGTATAAGTCCACTTGGGTTCTGATGTTACTGACATCTGTATGCGCATAGGCAACCTGGCCACTGTGTGCCTCAGCTTCCTCATTTGTAGGGTGGGGACAGTGCAATGACTGCATCTATTCCTAAATTGAGAGGAATAATAGAAATTAATATACATAAAGTACTTAGAGCAGTACCAGTCACCTAATAAGCACTTAATAAATGTAAGCTATTACTATTATCTGTTCATCCAGTCTATGTGATAAGGAGTGAACATCTATTATTTTTTTTACCTGCTCCACTTCGATTTCCTTTCTTTTCGTAATAGCATCTTGATTTTCCTTTGTGCCAATCTCTCTAGATGTGTTGGTAAGTCTTTCTTTGTTCCCTCAGCTCTATTCTCAGCCTCTCCACCTCACTGGCTCATCATGGGCACATGCCCCAGCCAAACCCATTTGGAGCTTCTAATCCCTCTGTCCTGACTGGCCTAAAAATGGGCCACATGTTTCTAGTGGGTCCAATGAGAGTGAATTTCCTCTTGAGTTTGCCAAGCCGGATGAACCTGAACTGCAGGGAGAACCACACCTGGGATAAGCCCCCCTTTAGCTGAAGCTGACACACAGAAGAAAGCAGAATGGAGAGGTGGGGCCAACAAACCCCTGATACCATCACTTGAGTCCTTGAATTGAGTCATACCTGAAGCCAAAACAAACCTTGGACTTTTCAGTTACTTGAGCTGATAAACTCCTTTCATTTCGGTGGCCTCTTTGAGTTGGGTTTTTATTCGTTGAAACTAAAAATCTGAAACCTGCAATCAATGGTGACAGATTAGTAAAATATCCACATTTCACGAAGAAGGAAACAGAGGCCGTTAGAATTAAGTGATTTGGTTGAGGTGACTGAGACTGCAAACAACAGAAGACTCAAGCTTCTCACACTGCATCTACTGTAACAAATCACTCCAAAACTTAGTAGCTTGAAACAGCAAACATTTCATTTGTTCTTGATTCTGTAGGCAGCAGTTGGGCTGGGCTCAGCCAGGCAGTTCTTCTCCTGGTCTTTTGTGAGGTCACTCATGCAGCTACAGCACCAGCATCAAAAGGCTCAACTGGGGCTTACTGGTCTAAGGTGGCCCCACCCACAGCACTCATTGGTCCTGGCATTGACTGCAGCACCTCAGACCTCATTTATTGGCCTCTGCAGCTGCCTATCAGATTTATTCACAAAAAGGTCTCAGGGCAGTGGAAGAATGAGAACGAAAGTTACAAGACATGTAGAGACCTACACTTACCAATTGTATGATATTATTTCCACTACATTTGATGGGTCAAAGCAAGGCATAAGGCCAGGCAAGATTTAAAAGGGGGTGGAAATAGACTCCAGTTCTCAATGAAAGGAGCAGCAAAGGAACATGAATGTAAGGAAGGGAGGAACTGTTGTTGCCTTCTTTGCAAACTTCATCTACTGTTAAAACTAAATGGTGCTTTCCAGGTGAGGTGGCTCATACCTGTAGTCCCAGCTACTTGGGAGGCTGAGGCAAGAGGATCGCTTGAGCACAAGAGTATGAGACAGCAGTGAGCTACCATCATGCCATTGTACTCCAGTCTGGGCAACAGAGCAGGCCTCCCTTTAAAAAAAAAAAAAAGAAAGAAAAGAAAAGAAGAAAGAAAGAAAACAAGACCAATAAGGCTCTTTCAGTTATAAGTGACAAAAGCCCAGAATGAACCAACCTGGTGGTGGAAGTAGGAGTCACTCCTGGTTTTCGGTACCTTAGGAGGACAATGAGTAGGAGAAGGGTAGGCAGGAAAACATTAGCTACAGTAGCATTGCATCCTTGACAACAGTCCTCTGAGGTGGTAACAAATAGTATCCCTATTTTAAAGAAGTGAAAACTAAGGCCTCAAGAGGTTAGGTAATATGAAGTGAAACTATTAATGCCAAGGACTGGGAAACAAGGCAGGAATTCATCGACTGGATACCCTAGGCCCATAAATAAGACTTGAAGCCTAGTTACCAGACCTCAATGCTAAAGTCACAGCCAAAATCATAGAAACATGACTCACAAACATTGTAGGCCCAGAATAATCAGAGATGATGATAACAATTTACAAATAGGGACAAGATACAGATTTGCAGAAATATTGAAAATTACATATTCAACAAAGGACTTGTAGTTAAACTATTTAAAGAACTTTCAAAACTCAACAGTAAGAAAAATGAACAAAAGATACAAACAGACATTCACTAAAGAGCAACTTCCAACTCCTGGGCTCAAGCGATCCTCCTGCCTCAGCCTCCAGAGTGGCTGGGACTACAGGCATTCGCCACCATGCCCGCGCTAATTTTCTTTTTCTATATATATACTATTATATATATATATTAGTTGGCCAATTAATTTCTTTCTATTATTTATAGTAGAGACGAGGTCTTGCTCTTGCTCAGGCTGGTTTCGAACTCCTGACCTCGAGCATCCTCCCGCTCAGCCTCCCAGAGTGCTAGGATTCCAGGCGTGAGCCACGCGC